ATCATTTCCTCGGGAAAAGAATAGCTCACATCTCCATAGCCGAAGAGAAAGGATTGAAGAAAGAAAGCAAAGCTGTATAGCAGGCCCGCCACCGAATTTCTACTGTGTGCCATCTTTGGACAAAAAATACAAAGAAAAACACTCGAAAACGTTTAACAGTCCAAACTGTATCAGTGCGACAACAAGTGCGCTCTTTTCACATCAGTTATAATCGAAAATATTTCCAGAGAATGGTGGACAAAAGCACACCCAAAGGGACAGTTTGACAATGACAAGACTGCATTAACACTAACAAACCAAGAGCTATGGATGGAGGTATGTTTCCACTGCTGGTAAACAGCGACCCTCTGAGTTCATATGCGTTGTCTGCACGTGAAATATTTAACTTGCAGACAACGCATTGATTTCCTTTATGACCACAGCACACACAGCACACTTCTTTTAAAAAAAAAAAGGGGGACAGCTAAACGTATTGTCAATTTATATTTTAATACTGATCTGGGTAGGCAACATTTTTCGACTGGTAAAAACATTCATTACTAAACAAAATTAGTAGTCCCAATGTAACGTCCACGTTCAATTACCATTTCACTGGTGCGCATTCTCCCTAAAAAATGGAAAATGCATAAGTAAAGTAAATACAAACATAAGCACTAATCTTCGGGTAGAGTAAGAAGTATAAAAACATGAAAAATCAACTTAAGAAGCTTTAAACAAAAAATGGAAAATGCATAAGTAAAGTAAATACAAACATAAGCACTAATCTTCGGGTAGAGTAAGAAGTATAAAAACATGAAAAATCAACTTAAGAAGCTTTAAATATCATCCACAAATCACAAGCCAGGGCAAATATTCATCAGAGAAATAAAATGAATGACAATATTGAGCTTAATCAAGTGTTTTCCTAATTCGTGAGGGTCCATTTATCAGTACGGGCAAATGTAACCTCATTGGAAAGGAAATAACCCATGATTACTATTGAGAATTACCATCTGAATAATACCGTAGATTTTAAAAACAACAAGCATTCTTGTACTGTAAGTGAATCTCTAAAGGACAGGGTGATGACACTTTTTCAACCTGGTGGAAGGTTATGAAGTCCATGGAAAGGTGAGTGTTTGTTACTTTGTTGTTTTTTAATTTGTTGAGTTAAGAACCTAAGAAAACCAAACAAACAGCAATTTGAACTTTAACATGTCAATCTGAATTATGATAGTTCATATATCAGCAATATCTTCTGCATAGAATTTTGTGCTTTTGATATCTATTACTAACTTCTATGAACAGTATAATGCCAGAGAAAGACTCCATCACTTTGGAGTCTCTCTCTGGCATTATATGGTTAATACATCTTTTGAAATGGGAAAAGTTCATTTCTAATTCTGGACTTGGAAAAAGTAAAACCTGACAAATAAAGTAAATTCTTTTTCCATTTCTATAGCCGAATGTTTTTTTCTTAATTATCATTCCCCTAAATCTTTCTATTATGTAATGAATTGCAGCTTCTAATACACCTGCTGAAGTTCATAGTTCAGAAGAGAAAATTAAAATGCATTATAGTGACATAAAAATAGATTTAAGGACACTGTTTCTACTACGGCAGTATCTGACTACAATATGACTGCTTTCATTAATATTAAATGAAACAAAATATATGGAATTAAAAACATAAAAAAGATTCCGAATATCTATACAAGAAAGTTTGATTGGTTAAGGTGCAAATTTATCCCCAACAGATTTATAAATTTAACGCCAGTAAGTAAGTCATACCTCTAGAGACGCATCTGATTCTTCAAATGCATCAGCAAAATCTGATGGACTTCAAAGACAATACTATAAATGTAAAAACTTAAAGACATAACAAAACACTGCGATTTTGATAACCCAGTTATTTCAGCATCCTACCTCTATTGGAGTTTCGAGATCTTCAAACGCATCAGCAAAGTCTGATGGACTTTTCTTCAGAGTCTGGTCAGCAGGCAGCGTGTTGTCATTGTATGATGTCACAAACTTAAAGTCACTGGTTCTTG